TAGTAGTAGTAGTAGCAGCAGGAGGTCGTCGTAGCGGCAGCAGCTGTACTCGCCATACCAATACGTGTAGCATCTGCCATAAGCCATCAGCTCGTTGATTCTTACCTATGCGTTTGTGTAGGGTAGCTGCAATGTTGCTTGTAGCTATCGTTGTTGCCATGCTGGGGGTGGGGTTGTTGCAAAAGATCGGGCAAGAAGGGGTGTGAAGGTGCAGCAAAGCAATCAGCAAGGCATCAGCCTCTTTGGAAGGGAGTAGGGTATGCACAGGATTTGGAGTTTCCACCCTCGGCAGGCTTCTCGTCATTGCATTTCGTAGAGGGTTTCGGCCAAGGTCAAGCCCCAGCCCTGAACCTTCAACACAGATCTGAACTTACCCTGCGTTGCAGGCTCGTCAGTGCTAAGTTGGAGGGAAAAACTAGTTGTAGCCCTGAGAGACTCATTGCCTGAAGCCGTGCATGCCTTGCATGCATTTGGCCCACTCAGGAGGTCTGCCAGCAAGCCATCCAATGGCCAGTGTGTATCATGCCTGAAATCCGTGGTGTTGAAGCTCAGCATGTAGTTTTGAGCGTTTACGAGTTCAGGGATGTTCCTGGGTCGGCGGATGTTTGGGTGGCAGCTCGGTCTTCAGACAAGTGGCTGTTTCGGGAATGACTGCAAGCATTGTAATTGTAAGCATGTACAGAGTAACTGTGCGCAAATCCCAAAGGTGCCGATGCACCACGGCGATGCTGACTTCAGCCTCGACTTTACCATTCTAGTGTGTAGTACGACGCGGGCGATGACGAGAACACTGGAAGTAGCAGCAAAACTAGTAGCAGCAGCAGTCGTCGTCGTCGTGGTGGTCGCCATCGGGCTAGTGGTAGTGGTCGTGGTGGTGGTGGCGGCAGTTGCAGTGGCGGTAGCAATGGCCGTAGTAGGTGGCAGCAATGACTTTGACGCAACGATTTTGTGAAGCCCGCTTTCACACTCGGTCAGAGAAGTCACTGCTCCGCTCCATGTTCATGGGGCCGAGAGGTGTCCACGCAGTTCAGCATCAGCCGGTTTTCTGTTCAACCAAAGCGTTTGTGCCAACCCGCATCCGGACTTTCACCCGTAAAGAGAACTCGCTGAGCCTTCTGCAATCTGTTGCCAGGTTGTCGTGGGCGGTGCTTGCGTGCCGGCACAGGCGCTCTGCAACTTTGCGGAGCAGCTCAACCAGGGCAAGGCTCGATCCCAACGAATTTTTTCGGGAAAGTAGGTTGCACTGGGTCTGGTTGACTGCATCGAAAAGGTCCAATCGACGCTTAGTCCCTGACCATCCACCTTATCAAGTACTCCCAATGTTCTGGCGCTCTCAATGTCACAGTAGGATTTTGCCAAACTAGTGTGCAGTTCAGTCTGTCCTTGCTGCAGTTGTAACAGGTCGCCGCGCCCAAGGAGACTCCTGAGGACAGGCGCCTCTCCTGTAAGGTGCGTGCTTCCGGCGGATCAGCAACAAGTGGTCACATAGAGATATTACAGAGGTGATGCGTCATGAGCTGTAGGTTTGGGCTCGAGGGTTGGAAGCGCCATTGTTCGGATCCTGTTTTCCACTCTCCACCTGCAGTCTTCTTGCACTGAGTGGTTCTTTCGTCTGACGTGTCGGTTTAGTTGAAGATTGGCATCGGTTCAGAAGCGAGTGGAAGCATTGACTTCCTTGCTGAGACTATGTTGAATCGGGCACGCATTGGAGAGACTCCCGTCAAGTCTAGCCGAGCCAGTCAACGATACATCCACACATCATGCAGAGAAAGCTGCTGACTGCCATTCACTATAGTTAGTTTGTTTAATGTTTTCAGTTCTGACCAGCGGTGTCCTGTGGTTGTCGGGCAATCGTGAAATTGGCCCCCAGGGCCCATGGCAGCACCCCACCTGAGAGGGTGCGGCGTAGGCTAGGCCCTCATGACTGGACCTGTGGATCCATTGTGGATCAGCACGTGCAGTGCCCTCTTCGCTCGTGATTGAGATGTGGCAGAACAGCCTTTGAGCCGGAGTGTAATGGAAGGATGACCGCATTGTGCTGCTGCGAGCGCTGGCTGCAGAGGTTCGGACTGGGTTTGCGGATGCTGCCCAGGGTGATGGGCATTCTGAAAGATTTCGGGTATATAGACGAGCTTCAGTGTAAACCCTACTTTCTGTGGGTTTCAGACATTTTGGAGGGTTTGAACCCTGCTGGAGGCATGGAAGAAGAAGAAGAACAGCGCCTAACATTCTCAACAACATTCAACAACAAGATCAACTACGATAGCGGTAAACACGCAAACTGCACCGAGGAGGAGAATGAAGCCAGAAGCAACATCAATGGTGAATTACTGTGTTAGTCATAATGAGGAACGACAGGGATTGTGCTGCTGCTGACAATTTGCGAAAACTATAAGCATCACCGTCGTCATCATCAGCATGAGCTTTAGTGAGCAGGCTTTGGGGTCAGGGAGCGACCCGTTTCAACAATGCTCCATGCAGGCGATTGGCACGGGCCTCATCGCCCCTTGCCTGAAGACAGGTCATAAACTTCAGGTTGTTTGTGCAGTTCGTTGTGAGCGTGTAAGCAGTTGATCGCGGTCCAGAACCTAGTAGACTTGCTCCCGCTGCAAGGCCGCAGTCCTTTGATCTAATCGAACCTGCATCGTCAACCTTGCTCAGGCCCCTGAACAGGTAGCCTCTTGCTGTTGGACCCACCCTTCATCCAGACAGACAACTGTTCTTGCCAGAGTCCAAAGGTGGAGGGAGAGAGAGAGAGAGAGAGAGAGAGAACCCTTGGTGGGCTGATGCTACAGAGGGTAGAGGGTCGCCAAGCTCTGCTTGCCATGGACTTTGGCCGATTTAGTTGAGCCTCTTCTCGATCGTTTGTGGTGTATGCGGTATGCCTGACAGGTTTGCTGCGCCTTGCATCGTGGCTTTCGCTCCACAGCTAGTTCCAAGTCACAGAAACATCTCGTTTTGTGTGCTTGGGCTTGGCTTCACTTCAATCTGCCAAAAATCCGAGTTTGAGGGCCATTTGAGGAGCTTCATGTCCACATGCTCCTTACCCAGGTCCTCTTCGGCTGTGGATCAGTCTGCGCCACTCTTTCTGGAGCGTACAGCGGCGTTTGGCAGGTGCCAGGGTTTTCTTCAGGTTTGTCCATGCAGTTGCTACCAGTGGGTTTTGCTCTCCTACCTGCTATTGGTGGTTCACGCAAGCTACAAGAACTCAGAGAACTGCAAATGTCCCCATCGTGTATACTCTTTGCCATATACTTGCAAAGCTGCATCTAAAATAGGAGCCATGCCTTTCATGGAAAGCATCATCCCGGGCATCCAGTGGCCTAGACCTGTAGAGGGCCGTGAAGAAGCGAATTGCCGTGTGAGTTTCTTCTTTCCATCATGGTGAGCCCTTGAGGTTGCTGCTGTGTGGGGCCTTGGCGTGTCGCTGGCCATCTATTGCACTGCAGAGGCTCCAAGAGGGTGTAGGGTTACAGTCCCATGGAACGAAGAGGGGTGCAGCGGTCTCAGCCAGCAGGGACGGAGGTGCTACAAAGTGAACAGGAAAACTTTGTCTGGCCGGAGTTTTCCTATTCACATGGTCGGCGTCTTCCTCGAACTTGACGAAACACAACCTGCACTCGCCAGTGGCAGTTCCGGCTACAAGTCCGGAAATTGTAGGTTCTTATCACCTGGCAGTGAAAAGATGTGCGTGCCTCTACCAGCAACGTAGGAGAAAGCGGGATGATGAGTACTGTAGAGAAGCAAGCAGCGATGCAAACAAAGGGATGGTCGTGACGATGTTAAGCAAAGCAAGCACCCTGAATTGTCCTCATCGCTGTCATCGATCTGCCCGAGTTTCGTCGCAATCGCCATTGCGAGTACGATGATGAAAACACGGATAGGAATCCATGGTTTGCCGCTATATGATTGACCGTGTCTCCACATCTGCGAGCTTGGCTACACCGTCTCTGCTGTCAATTCGAGAAAGAAGTAAGACTCGGCGACGGGCCTCGTGCCTATGTGATGTTGCCTGTATCCAAACCCGATGTTTGCCAGAGGGTTGCTTCTTGGACCCGTGAATGGCTCCGGCTGTAGTGTAGTGATTCAAGCTGAGCTGGTGAAGGGAAGCCCAGGGCAAGTGGGCATGAAGCTTTCTGTCCATCGACCTTCCCTGTGTTCTTCAAGCTCATTAACCCTGGTAGTACCTGGAAAGCGAAAGCAAAACTTTAGAGCATGAAAGAACCCTCCAGGCCAGTGGCGCTCATCTGAACCCGGCTGTCACACTTGCCTTCCTGTGCCCGGACCGTAACTAGGATTTGTTGCGTCGGTGCTTTTTGTTTGACAAGGGAGTGGTAGGAGACACTCGAAGGAGAAAGCTTGGAGGTCGTCGATATCTCCCCTTTTGGCTCCTACATACTACATACTACGATATTAGCTTCATTGGGTGAGGGTTTCCTGACGTTGAGCTTTGGCTTTCGCTGCTGATTTAGCATCTTTTGGAGCAAGATGTTGTCCCGGTAGCTTAAACAGAGATAGCTGGAGCATATCCCTGTACATACTTATAGTGGGAAATGCCCCAAGATGTTTGGGACTGACAAATGTCCAAGAAGCCACCCTGTTGATGTAGGAACCTCCACACAGTGTGAGTCCTAGTGGATGACAAGAGTCTGGTGTGCAGCGTGAGCCTACTATCACCTTTAAACCTCGTAATGATGAACGCTTCTATGTGAAGAGACGTTGAGGCTTCAGGTTTGGACTCCGGGAGGACGACAGATCCAGCTATGATGTCGACGGTTGTCCGTGAGCGTAGAGACCCCTCCGTGGCAACATATGCTAATACTAGCACAAGTGAATGGTCGGCGTCAGAGTGTGGGAGGTTTCAGTTGAGTGATGTAACCAAATCCAACCCAAAGCTGAAATTTAGGATGTAAGGGGCGTGGGGATGCGTGGGGCCCAGGGGCGCTCCAAGATGGCGCTTCCCAATTTTTTTGTGATGATTGTGAGCCGCCCTTGAGACTGTATCCCAACTTCACTCTTGCAAGGCTCGTGCGCCCTCAGGCGCACGGCATGACCGTGGTGAAGTCGCTGCTGCACAGCATCCGCATGAGTCTGCAGTGCATTGTTAAGGCTTGAATGGATGCTTGGGTCCCAAATCTTGAAAGGTATTTGAGAGTCCTTGTTGGGCTCTGGAATCCGGTGGATTTTCTTTGATTCTTGAATGTCCCGGCTTTCCAGGGGTCGATGCTTTGGAAGACCAAGAGCCCTGGACGTCGTTGAAGATAAGTGGCTGCCTACAGTACCCCAATAAGGCATTGAACATGAGCCGTCCCGGCCGCCTGATTCCAAGATCCCGAAAATGGATCCCAACACACGCGCAGATCTTACTTGAGGGCAGTTTATACTTCCAAGCTCTGACCGTGCCGGCAGCAAAAATACCTTTATATCCCTAGACTCCCATTGAGACCCACGCGGTGGGCCAAGCAAGGTATGTAGTGGCACAGATGGTCGGTGCTATTTTGGCTGGAGCGACGCTGGTCCGAGAATATTATTTTGTGCTGTGTGAGTCGTCCTAGGAGGGATTGAGGGATTGGCAATGATGAACACAAGACTTATTGATACCCGTGGTAAGTTTCTGAGCAGGATAATTTATCTACACCGGAAGCACCGTCTCAATGCCCTTCATATCATGCATGCATGGTCTTGATAGGACCCTATTATAAAGCCTATATCAAGCCCTCGCATTGATAGCTGCTTCAGAGCTTGCCCCTGCCAATATATTCAGAAGACACCTGGCATCAATGTGATGCCAAGTAGTAGTGTTCCCCTTCCAAGCAAGCAGCGAGTTGAATCTCCACTTCCTCGTGAAATTCGCGCGAGTACGTCAGGCTGAACCTCCTCATCTATGGCGGCACCATTGCCGCCTTTGAGCGTGAGTGGCCTGGCTCGGGGCTATGCTCAGAAGTTCTGGCTTGTATTATGTAGAGATAGGATTCAGTGGTAGCTGGGGCCAGGGGTTGATGAGGCTTGAGGTTTGAGGTGAGGATGTTGGTTCGGACCTTGGTTTCAGGGTTTGTCCTGGTGACCGAACTACGCACAATCTCCCGAACCCATCTGCGCCGTGCTCTCGCACTTTGGCTCAGCTGTTTCGCAGCATGGTTCCCAACGGTTCCGAGCCATTTGGAGGGCTTTCTCGTGTCTTGACGGTGTTTGCAGGATTTGAAGTACGTGAGGTTATCAAGCTTCACAGCCAGCATGTCTTCACCTCTGCCTCAAGTGTAGATTCTGTTTTCGGCCTGGACCAGGAACAACATCGTCCGTGGCGAACCCAGATCGATCCTTTCAGCTTCAGCATTTGGTGAGTGACTCGGCTCGAACGCCGAAGAATGGGGCCCTCATCTTCGTGTTTGTAACCGGCCCTCCTTTTACTCAGGTTATTCTGATAGCCCCATAGAGTTGCTGCACTCTTTTGGGGAACATTGAATATAGGTTCATGTCACTCCCAGAGTCTCAGTACTTACTAGTAGCACCAGGTACTTCCCGAATCCGGGTCTCTCCAAAGAGTACGGCTCCGGCCCATACGCCCAAGACGACGTCTCGGTGTTCGGCGCCCTCATGACAGAGGCGCGTGATCGCGTCAATTACACCAGCTGCCGGTAGACCCCTTTCACCAGAGGCGAGTTTCAGACAGTAAGTTTCGAAACTGTAAACTGTTTGTTGTCAGCAGCCCCGACATAGAATTGGGACCCCAGAGGTTTCGAGAGGAGGCCTTGATCTCAAGTTTGTGCTGGACAGTTGTGTGTTAGGAGAGTCCATGTTGAACAATTTTCGTGAGGCCTGGGGAACCCTAATTCTCGCCTTCGTCATCTTTGGCATCACCAACGGCCGAAACAAGGCCATCTTCCGTCCTTGCTTCTGTGATGCTGTCAGAGGTCTCGCAGTCTTAGCCTGTAGTCGCCTGTTTGGTATGAGTATTTTCGTTCGCGTCCATATGCAGAATCATGCTCATGGTGCAAGCAAGTCATGTCCCCCTTGCGCATCGTTCGGCGTGACCAACACGCCCTAGTCTTCCAAAACGCATCCCGCCATGGTGCAAGTGTCGTTCGTGGTTTGAGGCCAGAGCAACTTTCGAAAAGACTGTTTAAGAGCCTGACTAAAGTCATTGGGTTTCGCAAGTCTTCTCTTTTGCGGTCCAAATGTTAATGCCGGCCTTGTGCTCAAGTCAATCGACGCCAGGAAAAGGTAAACAAAACATCGTGACGAAAACTGTAATGCCATACATTTCGACCATGCAGCACAGGCACCCTTGCTTTAATGCATTTAGCCTGCCTGTTTACCAGAAATGCTGTTGTCCATGCCACGACCACGACAGAGGGGCAGCAGCACCACCGCCACGCCTAAAACGACCACTTACTTCAGCACGAACGATGAACAACGAAGAAGCGGGGAACGGTCATGTGCAGCTCGCGGAGATCTACGGACCCTTCAAGTTCGAACATTTGCGCAAAAGCGGATGTGCCGAAATGTAAAGTGAGCAAGTCATGTGCTTGCTTAGACTTGGAGACGGTGCCAGGGCGGCTAGGCAGCTCTGCGGCAGCATGACGCGAGCTCGCAGATGTATTGATACTTGCATATACTTGCATCACGTTGTGAGCGAAGTTGGCTGTTGCAGGTGCTTGGCAGCGCGGAGCGTGTCGGCGTTCCCTTCGTTATCGGCATGACGGTGGCTGTCCTTCTCCCGTTGTATGCACCGATCACTCAGGCATCCACTTGATGGTTCAAGTCTCACGCTTGATCGGCTTTGATTTCCCCTTTCCAAAGCCATGTTCTGCGAGTTTGAGATTGGTGTTGGATGTTGAGTACTTAATGCTGATGGCGATCTGAGGTATAGGTTCAGATTTTTGCTCAGTAAACAACACACAGTGACAGGGGAGAAGTCTGGAGATCGCAGCTGCTGAGTCGATGTTCATCGTTTTCGTACTTGAAATGCTCATCACGGACATGTCTAAGCTGTGTTAAGGGCCGTGGATCCCCCCGCTACCCTATGCTTATCCTATGGTCGATTACATTGCAATGCTAACTCGGTCAGGCTGGGTGGAACCCGGCGCGAGACTTTGGCCCTCGCATCGTTGCGGTGCCTTGCCAAGGGGTTCGGGTTCGGTACACCCGACAAAGTCTATTCCGGTGTAATGCCAAGCATGACAAGGAACAGTGCACGAAAGGTTTCGGGGCATGTTTCCCGGTCCACTGTTGGACTGATTATCCGGATTTGCTTTGGAAGATTAGTGTCAGGCATTGAACAGGCTGCGCGAGGTACGACTCTGCGGCTTGTAGGACTTAGACACTGAATCTGAAGCCATGCTGTGGCATAGCCTCGTCTCAATACTGTCAATACTTATCGACTCGCACATCTCCAGGCTGTCCTGCTTGAAGCGCTCCGGGCATGGACATTGAAGCCCAACTCTGTCAACACTAGGGAAGCATAGGGTAAAGAACAAGCTGCAGTTGGATGGCCAATCCCGGCGTGACCCTGTGCTATGAGCATGTGACATTGGAAATAAACACAAGCCCCGCAGAACTTGCAGCAGCAATGTCATAATCCCACATGAAATTGACAAAGCCTGTCACCGGCCAGGCCAGATTGGTCCGGATCTTGAACTGCGTGTTGGGGCTCCCTCGAATGTCAAGCTCAAGCAAAGCAAGCCAGAGAAGCCTTCCAGGCCCAAAAGCTGAACGGCCGTCGGTCTTGGCAGGCCTTGGGCGGATGGGGAGAGGTGGCCATCCCTGGTCCACGCAGTGGCTTCTGGACACTGGGTCCTGACTTTGGTCTTGGCACATCTAAAAGGGTTGCGGCGTTGAGGCGAGATGTGTTAATGGCATGTTCAGTGGCGCTACTTCAAGTTTAAGACTCAGAGGTGCAGTCATTTCTTTTGTACTCATCTGTATGTCTATGTATGTGTATGTGTATGGATATGTGTATGTGTATGGATATGTGTATGTATATGTATACGTGTGTATATGTGTATGTGCATGTGCATGTGCATGTGCATGTATATCTATATCATTCTATAATATCTGTATCTGTATCTATATCTATATATGTTAATGTATAGATACGTATGTATGTATATATATATATATGCGTGTGTGTGTATATGTATGTATGTATGTATGTATGTATGTATGTATGTATGCACGTATGTACCTCGGTTCGGATTCGGGAATGCAGATAGGAAGTGTTGGGGTCTTTATGGGGCGGGTAGTTGCAGTCTAGCAAGTTCTCCTTAGACTGCGGCTCGCCACATGCAACTTATCAGGTAACACTATGCTGACGATCTCTTGTTGCCAAGCTCTGAGCCCAAGACAGTCCCCCGACCCGAAGCTTGATGCCGAGCTCGGCTAAGGATCTACATTGCGGCCCGGCGGCAAGAGCCAGCTGTTGCGTCCCCCCAGAATCTTGCAGAGTCCATGGAAAGAGGAGAGGCATGGGGCATAGGGCCAGTCCAACTTTCGAGTATATGTGTGTTTGTGTAACTGTAAGCGTGTGGTCTCGGCACCGGAAAACTTGCGATTATCTTTGGGAAACCCGCTTGAAACACGGACATGCCCTACCCACAGCCTGTCACACAGCTTGCGCACTGCTAGCCGGGTGTGGGGGCATGCCGCTTGGGATGGAAGATCCTGATTACGAGGACTCGTCCGGGGTCCTTTGGGGCCAATGTGCAGCGATCCGCTGTGCATGACAGTGGGGCGATGGGCTAGTGCGCTCACTGGGGGACTCCCACGGTACAGATCGCAGGGAGCTTGAGAGTCTCGGCTTCCGCTCTACTGTGCCGACTGGCGGCGTCAGCAGGGGAGGCTTCGAAGTTGTTTTGGAACAATTAGCTGCGTGAAGATGTCAGGAGGCATGCTTGATCCTTTTGACTCCCTGACCAGCTCAGCTCAGACAACATGTCACATGTCCACTGCGAAGGCTTGGCCGCATCAGCATGGCGTAGCGTTGCGTGTCAGACCAATCCATTTGTGTTCTCGGGAGTGCGGAGAGCACTCACTTTCGATTATCTTTGGGAAACCCGCTTGAAACACGGACATGCCCTAGATTACGAGGACTCGTCCGGGGTCCTTTGGGGCCAATGTGCAGCGATCCGCTGTGCATGACAGTGGGGCGATGGGCTAGTGCGCTCACTGGGGGACTCCCACGGTACAGATCGCAGGGAGCTTGAGAGTCTCGGCTTCCGCTCTACTGTGCCGACTGGCGGCGTCAGCAGGGGAGGCTTCGAAGTTGTTTTGGAACAATTAGCTGCGTGAAGATGTCAGGAGGCATACGTGATCCTTTTGACTCCCTGACCAGCTCAGCTCAGACAACATGTCGATCCCTTCTGAAAGGGACCCTATAGTGGGCCCCAGGTCGGCCCCTGCCTCGGCGCGCCCATCGGTGCCTTCATGGCCGAGAAGCTGCTCTGGCGCAAGGTCGGCCCGAGCTGGGTTTAGGGTTTAGGGGGGACTAGAGGATCCAGAGGAGTTTAGGGGGGAGTAGGAGTAGGACCTATGTAGGAGTTTAGGGTTCAGGGCAGAGAGCTGGGATAGGCTAGATTTAGGGTCCACGGTGTAGGGTTTCCCGATTGCCGTAAGTGGCTCGCTCGTTGACTGCTCTTTGCACGCTGGGGCTTCGGATCCGCTGCGTAAACTTTGACAGATTTCACTTTCAGATATCCTCCAAGAACCCTCAGATCCCTGAGTTGGATGGACAAGTTCTTTCCGGTCCAATCTACATCCGTTGACGCGTGCTGCAACGGCTTCAAGCTTGAAAGTCCTGGTGTTATTCGGGGGTCCGATGGGGAAACCCATAAGCTGCACCCGGAAATCCTCAATTCCATGTAGCTCTAACCCCAAACCGCCCAGGCCCAAGCCCCAACCCCGAGAACCTAAACCCTCAGAATGCGTTAAACCTTGAACTGTTCTGTCAGAGAGGTGGCGAAGTGAGTGCTGGCCTGAGGAAGACCGGACATCGACAGGGCTGCCTCACATGACGCATTGCACGCTACTTCGTGCATTCCGTTTCGCCCTTTCTTGTGCTCCCCTATCTCTCTCTGTCCCTCTCTGCCTTTCAATCGCTCTACACAAACACACGTCACGCATGCAAAGTCTGCCGCTCACGGAACATGCTGTGATTATGCAGAATGCACGGAAGTGTGCTCATACCTTCGTGCGGGCTCATGACCACATACAGAACCTTGTCTGATGCTTGAAACGTTTCTTGGTACGCAGAGGCACGATGTTGGCGAGTGACCTTCGAGTGTTTCTTCAGCTGCTGCTGGTGGTGGTGGTGGTTGTTGTTGGTGGGTGGTGGTTGTTGGTGGTGGGGGTGGTGGTGGTTGTTGTTGTTGGCGGTGCTGGTGGTGCTGGTGGTGGTGCTGGTGGTGCTGGTGGTGCTGGTTGTTGGTGGTGGGTGGTGGTTGTTGGTTGTTGTTGGTGCTGGTGGTTGTTGTTGGTGCTGGCGACGCCAACAACAAGAATAACAATAACATCTGCAAGAACAAGAAAAGTACTAGCAAGCAGAACAAGGGCACCAATAATAACGACACAAACAACAACAATAACAAAAAGCAGACAGCAGCAGCAGCAACAAAGACCTGTTGCTGCTCCTCCTTTGTGCCTGTGCCGATGCCGACGGCAACATGAGTCCGCAAGGCTACTCCTAGTCCCACCACGACGACGGCTGCTACTTTCTACTGGCTACTAACTAAGTACTTATCAGTTACCAATTGCCGCTACGGCTACGACTACGACAACACAAACTGCAGGTTTGACTGTCTTATGTGACATGAGTGTTGCAACTAGCGAGGACTGGGTTGTGCTGCCTGAAATGCTCGAGGAATGGTTGGGACACTAGAACTAGGAAGTGCACTGGTTGCATCCAGCCGGCCCAGGTGGTGTCGCGTCCAGGCACCCCAACCGAAGACCATGCGCAGAAGAGAGCCTGCCAGATTTTCCAGTGTGTCGGTTGCGATCGTCACGAAACGTTTTCGTGGTCGGCAGACGCTGCTTGGTATTCCCCTTTAGGGGGCAGTCCGAAAGCCGAACGATCCACAACATCAGGGGCCGGCCGATGTCCGATCCTCGAACATAACACCCTTTCTATCCATATCGTTTACTGCAACTATTGGCATCAGCACTGCTGTGATGGCTATGGATGCTGCTATAGATGTGATTTCCATTGTTCTTGTTCGTGTTATTTTCCTGTTAATGTCGTTCTTGCTGTTGTTGTTCGTATTCTTCTTCTTGTTTGTGTTCTTCTTATTCTTGTTCGTGCTGCTGCAGGTGCTGTTGCTGCTGCTGCTGCTGCTGCTGCTGCTGCTGTCGCTTCTTGTTGCCACTGTTAAGCTTACCGTTTTCGGCCAATGTACTGCTCATATCCTCTTCTCTCTATGTTTGGACACAGGGCGTCGTGGGCACGTTCTCACTGCTTATTTACATTTGTTTGCGTGCAGCGTGCACCTTGGTATGCAGATTCAAGCCCGTATTGGGGTATATGGTTCCAGGAATATGGCCAGCCCCTGCACCAAGACTTCGTTTTGCAGCAGAACAGGTGGGTCTGCACGGTCCGACCAGGTCCTGAGAGCAATCCACGGAGGTTGTCGAATCGGAGGCTCTCAGGTGTCTAGAGTCTTTTGAGGGTTACTGTACAGGGTATGGGAATCAAACAGCTCCCTTCCCCACAGTCTCCAGCAAATCAACAGGTTACCAGAGCTTTTTTTGGTTTCGGGTGAGGGGCTTGACATTGTAAAGCAGCTCCCCGAACCTGCAGCATGCTCCAACCCTACCTTAAGCCCTCCAACAGCTGCCGGGAACTTCGGAGCCCGGCTGCATGCCGTCATTTGTCCGAGAGGCATACATTCCCCCATCTGTCCCTGTAAAGCCTGCTGAAAAGTTGGGTGTTGGGTTTATAATGTGACATGGAAGCATGCGATGCAGCAAACTTGGTGCTGGGCTTTGTTCGGCTGACCAGGCCCACCTAGGTTTTGAGCTCACTTTGAACATGATTTCCAGGTTTTGTGATCACTTTTGACATGATTTCAAGCTGTCCCTCTTTCGTACCTCGATGGCACGTTCGGCTGAACCCTGCGAGATGTAAGCAGACCTCGGAGTCGACAGCTCGCAGGGCAGAGTGCTGCAAAGCAGCACCGCTACAAGCCACGTGTCCCGGCCGCCTGGGCTAAGCCCAGGCCTGCCGGCCTTTTGTAGGCGCACTTGACTTCTGAGATGTTGCCAAAGACAGAACCAGTCGATCAGAAAGAA